ATTATAAGACCAAACCCTGATGAAGGACGATAGCGCTTTACTGTTTCCACATTTTAGAGTTTTAGACTCAGTTCTTACCACTTGCATATCATATAAATTTATTTTCTTTACTTTTATAAATGAATGATCTTAATCATAATAGTAATTGTATCTTAAATATTAATAATTAACAGGTTCTGTGTTTAGTGAGTCACAGTTTTTCCCATTTATTTACAGTTATCAGTTGCGATATGGGACTACAATCCATATTCCTCAATTTTATTGACATTTTAGTAGTCTGAAAATATCTGTCAATAAAAATATTATATAAACTATATTAAGTCCATATAAATAAAAGAAAGAGTTTTGGCAGTTTACTACAGGGTTTTTTCCCCATAATTTACAACACCAACCCAAGTAATATCACTTCAAACTATTAAATAAGAAATTTTAGAAAAAATGCAATTCAAATTCATAAACACAAAAGGGGAAAAATACATTACAAAAAAAAGAACACTTAATTTGCTGATATTTTATTTTACTTTTCAATGCTCTTTTCCCCATAATAAAATAGTATGTCATTGTATTTGATTTAGTTTTAAAAGACCAATCAGTGAAGCGTTGATATCAAAATTGATTTAGCTTGAAAATAATGATTGGGTTTATGGACTATACTGTATAAAGTTTGATCATTAGCTGGTAATGAAAAGGTATGTAAGATGAAACAAAAATTCCAATAAATAAATTATACAATAAATTGTATATATATTACAGTTCTGTGCGGTATTCTGGAGTATCAGAACTCGTACAGCCTCTTCACTCTTGTGTATTACTCTGCCCACATAGAGTGACAGCAGATTAATAAATTTATTACAGTTTGACAAATATTGCAGCTTTTGGACCACATAATGTACTTTTGAGGCAATATTTAGTTTATTTATAAGGATAGTGCCTATTTTAAATATTTATATAAATCTCCATCAGCCTGTCATTAAGCAGAGCAAAAGCAGTTGACGTTGTCCATCCACAAGATGGCGACGGAGACCGCATAATAAGTCCTTAGAAGAGAAAAACAGCGTAATTTCAAACTACAGCTGATTAAATCATTATAAAACTGGTATGTGACTTTCTAAGTCGATCTCTCTTATTTGTATGATGTAGTGCTGTATTTATACCATAGTAATTGTAGTATATTGAGTGTGAGATGGGACTCATATCAGGAATGTATGTATTTTGTGTTGGCCACTATTTGTAAAACCTTGAGTTACTTTTTTTTGGTTGGCCATCTGTTTGTTCCTAATGAGTCTCTTGTTTTCGTTACTGCAGACTAGTTCAGTTAAAATACACTTTCTTGCATGTGTTTAGTGCTTATCCTTATCTCAATAGTAATCTTGTAGTGATTGTGCTGCTTTGACTTTTTTAGGGTTAATTATTGTGATCTCCCGATTGCAACTGAAATACTTTGAAATCTTTGTAGACTGATGGCATTTCATGCCGTTCAGCCTTATAATCTTAAATGCAAGCAAAATCACCTCTTTAGTCATCACTTTAGACGTTACTCTAGAGAATCATTCAAACACTAGTTCTCAACTGACGTTAGCGAAGTAGTGAACACGTCTGCAGCTGAGCATCAGAAGGTATGGCAGAAGAAAGTAGTTCCTCTTACAAAAGGATTTTTAGACTCTGTGTTTGATTTTCTTTTTATATACATGATTATGTTGTTGAATTGTTATATAAATGCAATGTCACACAAGTACAAGTGCAATATGGTTGTATATCGTCACTGGTGGGACACTAAGGCACTCGGCCTGCAACCTTATTCCAATGCACGCCTGAGTGTGATATTGCTCATATATATTGGTGTTTGTTTTGAAATGGTTTTGTTTAGAACAGTGGTTCTCAAACTGTGGTACGTGTACCACTAGTGGTACGCGGCCTTCCTTCAAGTGGTACACGGAAGAATGAATTATGTCATGTACATGCTGCATATAATTCAAAATTTATTAAAAATGATGTATATAATATGCCATATATTATATATAGCCTATATTTCCTAGGTAATTTGCCAGGTTTTTTAACTGTACAGAGTTTTAGCTGCTTTACTGGGCCAACTATGCTACTGTATTTCAATACTGCTCAATTTGGTGGTACTTGGAGAGAAAGTTTCTTTCTGAGGTGGTACTTGATGAAAAAAGTTTGAGAACCACTGGTTTAGAAAATACAGAGTTGGAATTACAATAAATTTACAATAAATTGTAAAGTTTTCAAAGGAAGTGGTGGTATTTTTTTTTAGGTCTTATGGTACATTGTAGAACAAAAAATGTATATCCTTACCCCTGAAAGCGCATAAAATGTCATGTATCACAATATGAAATCTTTGCTATGTTTATAATATATGAACTTTTAATTTAAAGTTCACTTAAAGCTATTTAAAAGTGAATCTTGTGAACATATAAAACAAAAATAATGACTTTATTCAACAGTTTCCTCTACTCATTGTCAAGGGGCACATTCATGTTATGTCTTGGCAGCACCTATGATGTATTAAAGTACCTCGTGCATGGCATCCGAGTGTATATGTCACCCAGGGGTGACCTAAAGTGACCTAAACGGCATTTTGTTACCTTGTACTTGTATCTATAAAGTTGAATCTAATCTAATCTTAAGTAGACAACATTTCAATTCAAGTAGTTTTCATCGGGTCAAACAGGGAACACAAGAGAAGTCAAGATATAGCCAAACACATCACACCTGCAAACAATGATCTCCCCAATAATGAATCAGTAAATAAGAAAAATACACAAGTTGAAACAAATAAAAAAAATAAAATGTATATAATAAAAAAAAAATATATATATATACACTTACATATACACATATATAATTATAAAAAAAAGATTTCAAGTCAAGGCAATGAGGTGGCATAGTAGGTAGAAAGTCGCTTGTTCGAGCCTCGGCTGGGTCCGTTGGTGTTTCTGTGTGGAGTTTGCATGTTCTCCCCGTGTTTGTGTGGGTTTTCCTCCGGGTGCTCCGGTTTCCCCCACAGTCCAAAGACATGTACAATAACTTGCCTAATTACCCTGCCTAGTTAACCTAGTTAAGCCTTTAAATGGCACTTTAAGCTGTATAGAAGTATCTTATTATCAAATATTATTTACTGTCATCATGGCAAAGAGAAAATAAATTAGAAAGTAGTTATTAAAGTTTTTTTAGAAATGTGTTGAAAAAATCTTCTCTCCATTAAAAAAAGTCCAAATAGATTCCAAAATTCCAAAATATGAGTAATAACTGCTTTACACAAAAAAATCTTGTCATGTCAGACAATTTTGCAAAAAAATAAAAATAAATAAATAACAGGAAGTTATTTGCTTTCCTTTTCCAAACACAACCAATAAAAATGCTACTCTTTCAACCATTCAGCTCTCTCTCTCTCTCAATCTCTATCTCTCTCTCTCTCTCTCTCTCTCTCTCTCTCTCACACGCACACAGACACACATGTTTGTTTTTGTGAAAAGCGGGGACATTACATAGGTTTCCATTCATTTTATACTGTTCAAACCGTATATTATATTGCCCTCACCCCACCCCACCCCACCTCTAAACCCAACCATCACAGGAGACTGTGTGCAGCTTTACTCTCTGATTAAACTCATTCTGTAGGATTTATAAGCATTTTGAAAAATGAGGACGTCACCAATGTCCTCATATTTCACCTCCTTTTTGTAATACCTGTGTCATTCCCATGTCATTATACAGATTTGTGTCCTGATGTCACAAAAACACTCACACACACACACACACACACACACACACACACACACACACACACACACACACACACACACACACACACACACAACAACAACAACAACAACAACAACTTGCTAAACTGATTAGAGAAAACAGAAATAAAATGTAGCCAAGGGTAAATATATTTCAGTTTTCAAAAATGTAGCCCTGGGCACATATTCTCGATGAGCCTGGGTTGGATTTGTTTTAGAGGATTGGAACATCATGAGTAATTAATCACAACACTGTTATGTTGGGTAAACTAACCCTTTATTTATTTATTTATTTATTTATTTATTTATTTATTTATTTATTTATTTATTTATTTATGTATTTATGTATTTATTTATTTATTTATTTATTTATTTATTTATTTATTTGTTTATCTATCTATTTTATTATTTTTTTTAAACTAGCAATTAGTCTGTAGATTAAGGAAGATACATAAATGGTTTCCATTTTTAAAGTTCTATTATATGGTCCTCACTTTCAATAGGCAATACAATGTGAACTATAAGCATTTGTTTAACCCTCTCACATCTTGTTTATCTGGTTCCGCCTTATGTAAGAAGCATGTTTTTTTTTTTCTTTTATGGCCACAATGATCACACATACCAGTAGTAAAGCAAATTTAGCTGTATAACTGAAAAGTAAGACACTGAGTTCTATACTGCAAAACAAAAGCTTTACTGATATGAATAAATCAGATATTGCAAACAATAATGTCGATATTATGACAAAAATTCTTATTGGTCTATTTTATTAGAGATAAAATCTAATTAAATAAAATAAAAAAATCACTATTTGAGAATGACAGAGCTAGCACAGAGACAAATAACAATGGCTATCTGTGTTATACATTCCTTTTTCTCATGTGGGTATTTTGCTTCACTTTAATCCTGCTCCCTTACTGATAAGTGTTTGTCGTATAGGCATTTTCCTTGCATGTGATGTTCTTTGGTTAAATATTATTGATTCTTTCTTGTATTTTATTGAATTTAAACAATCATCTACAATGATAAAGACTGTGTTTTTATATTTAATGCTGGTAAAGAAACTGTAAGGAAAGCATGTAAGGCAAATACAAACATGTATTCTTTAGCATTTGTCTTCTAGTCTAACAGGTTTGCTGATATTGTGTTCACATTCTTTTATAGTTCTGCTAAACAAACCCATACTGGTAGCTTATTTAGACCAATTAGTAGGTTTTATACGTATAAAGAAAATGGTCACACCCACATACTGTGCTCTGCTATAGAAAGATCTGCCAAACAACAAACAGAAACTGGCAAGCAAGACAAGGGAATGGTAACAGCTAAAACAAAATACATTAACTTTTGCTTAATGGTAAACAAATATATAGCTTTTCAAAATTAATCATGCATGTTTTCCTTATACAGAGCCATGTTTACACTGGTACTATTCTCAGGTATGAAACACTTTTATTTTTACTCTTTCCTCATCTTGTTATTTTTGCTAATTAATAACTTTTTTTCTGCTTCGGTAGATTTGTACTCTTGCTCATCCTCACAAATGTGCTTATCTGAATACTCACTGTGACTTAACTTTCTTAAAATGATTTCAACTCTGATTTCCTGTTAAATTATAGTTTGTATGCTCATTGTCTACGCTGTCTATGGAGTTCAATTTAAGTCTAAACTTGAAGTTAAAGAAATCACTTGCTTTTTTTATTACTACATTTTGTTGACAGAATAAAAAACAACAACAACAAAAATATAGCTTGAACCAAAAATAATAGGCTACCTAGTAATGGAAAGCAGAGTTACTCAATACATTATCAACACATTTATCAAGCTACTGATCGAATGTAATTATTAAATGAACTGCACTTTAGTTGAACACATATCAGTCATCCAGATTAAATAGTCAACTGCTCTTGTTACAAATCTCTCGTTATCGTCTTGCTACATATAATTTTTGAAATTCCTAAAGTTTAGGAATGCTGTTAGATAAAAACATAATGATTAGGAATACATTTATTTATTTGTTACAGACAAATACGAATGTTATTTTTGTCTTATTTTTTTTCTACAATTTTTAGAATGATTAGCCCCCTGTATATTTTTGTCCCCAAAATCTGTTTAAGGGCGAAACGATTTTTAAGAACACATTTCTAACATAATAAATGTTTCTGTAGACAATCGGAAAAAAATATTGCTTAAGCAGGCTAATGATATTGACCTTAAAAGTGTTTTTAAAATATAAAATTATTATAAAAACAAACAAACAAGACTTTCTCTAGAAATTTTTGAGGAAATACTGTGAAAAAAATGTTTGCTCTATAAACATCTTTGGGAGATATTTGAAAAAAAAAGTAAAAAAAAAAACAGTTGTGCTAATAATTATCACTTCAACTGTATTACAGTTTTTTTCCAATTTTTTACACACATTTTCTGTAAGCAGGTCTCATATTGTCAGAACTCTACACACAAATCACAAAACACACACACATTGGGCAAAAGTCTAAAATTCTTATGCAAAATGAAACTCTATGTTTAAAACGATGCAATTTCTTCCCAAAATGGTATTTTGTTTTCAAATGACACACTCAAGCCATCACATGAATAGACATTTATAAGAACAGTTGAACACTGATAAGCTTAATGTAAAACACTATGACCATTCATCATAATGACTTACTGTCAGTCTTTTTTGTTCAGTGTTACACTTACTACAGACAGACAGTACATAGGCCTACAGAAGTGCACTGTAAAATATTTCAGAATATTGTTTTATACAAAACACACAAATACCAAATACATTTTACTGTATTTTCCCCACAAAAACTGTGTACACAGTGTTTGTCCCAACCAACACAAAGTTGCAGATAACGTGGTCTACATGTACCATCAACAGAAGTATTTACAGAACACAGTTACAGGGAAAAAAAAACAAGCCATGAAAAGCATCAACTGCTATAGGGGTATACGTGTGTGTGGATTTCGGTCATACACTTTCCATCTCCAGGCAGAAAAACAATTCCTCATAAGGATTGAGGAATGGTGAATATGGAGGGAGATAAACTACTAAAAATTGTGGGTGGGCAGAGAACCAGTTATGAACCAGATGAGCTCTGATTTCTAAATTCTGTGTGAAAGTTGTTTACTCATGTGATGAGTTAGTATGTAAAGTAAGGCAACTGACTTAACAATTGTGAATGACAGTGTGTTCCTTGTGAAAACAAAAGATTTTCTGCATGAAGATTGTGCAAAATGCAGAGAATTGTGTGTAGTGTTTTGAAAAAAGTGTGTTTTAAACCTGCAATTTGAGTGTAAAGCAGGAATTGTGCTTGTAGTTTAGCAGAATTGGTTCAGGGAGTTTGTGCATCAGTTACATGTAGAAGAAATTCTGTCTGTAGTACAATAAATTGTGTGTAAACAACTAAGAAAAACTGTAATACATTGATATCATATTAATTTTTATTACATTTTAACTTAGTTTGATATTGTTTTCATAAGTGTACATTTTCAAATCTCTTTGTACAAAACTTTAAACTGATCCCACTTGTAATACCAGTTGTCATTCTTTCAACACCTGATGTTATGATTATGTTAGTTGCAGATGTTTTCATTCTACACAATCATTGTTTCATACACAAGATCATTGTGATATGTGATGAGAACATTCAGTTTGATTACAAAAATGCAACAGTAAAACCGGTTTTCAACGTAGCACATTCATGTAGTAGCAAACAATACAGGGTACAGGTTTAAATTTCTCTCAGTACTGAATGAATGTAAAACAGTATACATGACCATCACAGCAAATGTTATGCTTCCGTTTAGGAAAAAAATGACAAATATTAAATGTGCTTTATGTATATATGCTAGAGATGGGAAGATTAATCGATATGTATCGATACGCGGTCATGCGCGTGCACGATGCGAGTGCATCGGTAGAGCAGCAGAGGATGAATGAAATTTTGGAAGCAAATCGAGATGCATCGATTTTTGCGAGATGCATCGGTTTTTCCAAGATACAGCTTATATTTTTAATATAGAATTTATTTTTTATTTATTAACAAGTGTTGTCAACCTGTTCTTGGCGCATAATTTAATCGACCTACATAAAGTATGCCTTAGCAACGGATTTGCGGATGTGTACACTTCAACCAGTGTATCAGGTGTGCGGATGAAGCTAGTGGAGCGCCCTCAGAAAGCGCGAGAAGCAAAACAAACATTTTATTCCCCACTGAGTTTTAAATCTAAAGTATGGCAACATTATGGATTTAAGGATGGACGACTTGACAGGACAGATGCAATTTGCAAAATGTGCCGCGCATATGTAAAATACGTGGACAGTACGAGTAATCTGAAATCTCACTTGAAGCGGCGCTACGGTGTTGTTGTGGAAGCATCTTCCAGTGTTCCTGCATCCCCGGCTTTCGCACTGCTTCAACTGTAGCTACCAGCTCCAAAAGTGGTGAGAAAAGCATTGCAAGTTTTTTTTCCATGCGCAACAGTTTTGTGCGCTCTACGCCAATAACGGATGTTATTGCATTGTTCATCATGGAGAACGAAGGTTTTAAACACCTCCTCCTGTTAATTTTTTATTTAATTATAATAATAATAATACTATTAATAATAATAATGATAAAAATGATGGGTGGCACGGTGGCACAGTGGGTAGCATGACCACCTCACAGCAAGAAGATTGCTGATTTGTTATATTTTTATTAGCCTGTTGTTTACAGTGACAGTGATGTTTCAAAGCAGCATAACACTGCTAGTTCACGACCTTAAGTTTTGAATATTCAGTGGCACAATATATCTTTGTAAAACTTGTTTTCATAGTTGAAAAGTTAAATCACAATTCTTGTTGTGAAATGCTAAACCTTTATGTTGAAAGAGTGCAAATATATATAATTTAATATATATGGCACTTATACATTCTTTTTATCTTGAAAATACTTAAATAATATGTGCTATAGGTTATAAAATGGCTCTCTGCTGTAAACTGACACTCTGGCTCTGAGAGAAAAGCCAGTTTGTAAAAAAAGTCTTGGTTTTACTTGGTTAATAAATAATCAAACTCATTCAATGGCACAGCATCCTCTTTCACATAATCTCATAAACTTGATTTAATTAGTTTAGTGCTGAATTATCGCATTGTATCGTGATATGGGTGTGAATCGTATCGTGTTGCATCGCAATGTCACAAATGTATCGCTAATATATCGGATCATATTCTTTGTATCGAGATGCGTATCGGATCGGCATTATAGCTTAGATGCCCAACCCTAATATATGCAGATATTTAGAGAACATGCGAAGTGAACATTCTGTACTTGTTTATCTGGAAAAAAGAAACAATTAGTGATTCTCTATTGAAAAGGTGTGTTCCGTGTTGGAATGTCTGTCTTTGTGTTGGTCTGTTTAATTCTGCCAACTGCAAGTTTACCAAATTATATTTCGGCACTGCCTCCATGTGCAAAAATGTGTGCAAAAATGTGACCTTCGCAGAACAGTAGCAACCTTCAAAATGAGACGCAGATTCAGAGTTATAAAGCTCGTGTGAGTTAGTTCTTTATTTGCAAACAACACAAATATTAACAATGTAAACATTACCTGAGCAGTGTACAGTGTAATGCTGGGGTCACACCAAATTCAGAACACCATGTCACTTGCTCTAGTTTTCTTGTAAAATGTCAGCTCAAGCCAACATTGTGCTTAAATTAAATTCTTTGAATTTCTGCTGAAGCTGTGATTGAGGTGAATTTAGCATGTTCATTTAAAATCCATTGCATAATCCACTTCATTCATGCAGAAATCAATCTGACCTGCTGCTGTGGATTCCGTGCATCCCTTCCCATCACCCCGTTCTTCACTTTCAGATCGTTTCCCCTGTTAGCATATGTAATATCCTCATGTGAATACTTAATTTAGCTTTTGGCTTGTTCCTGTTGGGGTCAACAAACTGTGTGTGCTCCAGTTTGAGGAGGGACCGGGTAATTAAAAAAACATTAATATTTTGAATTTGGACTGCAATTCCTTGTTCATTCCTTGGTCCTACACACAGCACCATAAACATATATACAACATGAAATGTTTTCAAATAAAATATTGAGTCATTTACATTTACTGTACAAGCAATAAAAAGTATTTTGTAGTTTTGAAAATTTACCAATTGCTTATGAAAATTGTGGCAAAGTAATATTTTAAAACTGTAATGGCCAGCTCTAAGTGCTGTAGTAGACGTCTTGCAGTCTCACTTTCTGCACTATGGGAAAGTGTCTTGTAAAGACATAACTAATCATATTTAACTGGCTGATTAGATCCTAACTCAATGCAGCTTTTGTATTTTGAACAGGTTTCTTTGCCCTCACATTGTGTGACCTTCAGTATGTGTTTGTGAATCAATCCAAGACCTGGGCAGAAGCTCAGAGATACTGTAGAGATAAATACACTGATCTGGCCACTATTGAAAATAAACAACAGACAATCCAGTTATTGGACACAGTGAATGATGATTCCATTGATTTAGCCTGGATTGGACTCTACGATGATCTGAACAGCTGGAAATGGACTCTGGAGGACAGTGATTTCTTCAAGGCAGGAGAGAAAGACTTCAGGAACTGGTATAATCCAGATCCATACAATTATGGGGCACAAAGCCTCTGTGTGTATGTGTACAATGGGATATGGTATCCAGCGAGTTGCTTTAATACATTGTATACTACTGTCTGTTATGATGGTGAGCTTATACATTAAAAATGGACAAGACAATTAACAAAACCGAAAGCAACCAAAACAACCTCTCTTTAATCTTGAATTTTTACCTTTCAGGAAGAGAAAATGCCAGTGCTACTTATGTTGTTATTTATCAGCATAAAAACTGGACTGAAGCTCAGAGTTACTGCAGAGAACATCACACAGACCTCATCAGTATCAGGAATGAAACTGAAAGCCAGAAGTTCGAGTATTTTATAAAAAGTTTTTCTTATTATGCTGTTTGGATTGGTCTGTACAAAACAAGATCTTGGTCAGATCAGAGCAACTCTTCATTTAGTTACTGGAGCTCAGGGCAACCAAATATAGCAGGATCCTGCACCGTGGTCTCATTTAGTGACTCTTGGAAATGGGCTGATGAAAATTGCAATTATGCATTTCCTTTTATTTGCTACAGTGGTGAGTAGATGTTTTAAAAAAAGGTTTGCCTAAAATTTATATTTTGATTCAAACCTGACTGCATTTCTATGATATCTTGAAGCAAGTTATACAGTTTAAAAAACAAAATTATTTTATTTAGTTGCACCAAATGTGAAAATAATCCATGACATCACTTATTGACTCAATGTGCTTACATCAATTTCAGGAAACATAGATATACTGTTGAATGCGGTCAGAAACATATGACACAATTGCAAAAAAAAAATATATATATTTTTTTACATTCTAACTGGCAAGAAATGATTTTATATGAAATATATATTAAAATGTCTGCCATTAAAATGTAGGTCACTGACCTATTTAACAACTTTTCATTGATCTTCATATCAACAAAAAATATGTTTTCTGGATCATCCCAAATAATTCTGAATAATGCAGTCAGTGGGTTTGACAAATGTGAAACATTCCTGAAATTCTAAATGTTATTATAGTAAAAAACAAAATACACTTTATTTTATTTTTATTTATTTTGCTGAGGAAATAATTAAAAATAAAAGTTTTTTTTTTTTTTTTAAATAATAGTTGATGCTAATTATTTTGGATGGCGTTTTATTTAAAATACTAAATATCAAAAATATTAAGTGAATTTCGATATATAACCCTTGAATTGTTTTATCATTAGCAGGATTGGGATCATCTCGTCAGTATTACTTCATGAATCAGTTTTTGAGCTGGAATGAAGCTCAGAGATTCTGCAGACAGAATTACACTGATCTGGCCACCATTGATAACATGGAGGAAATGAACAGGCTGATTAACACAGTCAATGGCAGTTACAGTGGTTCAGCCTGGATTGGTCAGTATGATGATGTGAACAGCTGGAGATGGTCACTGGAAGACAATGATTTCTATCAGGAGGGAGAAAGAGATTACAGGAACTGGTATCATGAACCTGACAACACTGGTGGAAAAGAACTGTGTGTTTACATGAATTCTAATGGAAAATGGTATGACACATCATGTGATTACACACAGAAATTTGTTTGCTATGATGGTAAGGACACTTGATTTGTTAAGAAATCTTTTTTTTTTTCTTTTTTTTAAGCTAACATGCATATATTTATAAAATGTCATACCACAGGTAGAGAGAACGCTTCACAGAGATACATCACAATTTATGATTATAAAACCTGGACTGAGGCTCGTAGATACTGCAGAGATTATTACACAGATCTAGTGAATGTGAGAAATCTGACTGAAAACCAGAAGATTCTTGAAAGAACAGGTGGAGGAGTCTGGATCGGACTGTACAGAAATAGGATTTGGTCAAACAATCAGAATAGCACTTATCAAAACTGGAGGCCACAGATTTCTGGATCACAGGCACAACCAGACAATGGTGTTAATCAAGGTATCGAATATGGATATCAACATTGCACTGCAGTATCATTCAGATATTCAGGACAATGGACAGATGAGGTCTGTGTATCCAGCATGCCTTTCATCTGCTACAGCAGTAAGTTCACTTTCTTTGCTGGAAAACATTATTTGGTTGAAATAAGAACAACGTTTCATACCTATATGCAGCATAATAAACATTGTTTAATTTAGGATTTTTGTACATGACTGATGGATTTGATTTGAGTTATGTTGTGAATTATTATTTTTTTAAATATTCAAATATTCATCTGATTATTATAGTACAAAATCTCTAATCACAGTTGTGACAAACATTTGTTTAGATTTTTAATCATAATACAGAGCAGTAGAATGCTTGATCCTGACTGTCTTATGAACAAACTTAGATGTGTAAAACAAAGCTAAAGTAGTTTAAAGCAGGTCTTGATCACATTTCATAGCTCAACAATGTCAGTTGTTTTAAACTACAACAGTCAAAAATCAAAATACAGCAAAAGGACGAACATTTTGCTGTTTTAATTAATGAACTACAAATATAAAACAAATTACAGTGTATGTGGCATTAACTATACCATAAAGTCATGCAGAAAGTTCAAATCTCAATATTATCCAGTTTTTTTACAATAAAAATTAACAGGTGCTAATGTTGTCTTGCTCAACACACACATATCTGTTAAAATCTGAAAAGTAGTGGTTTCATGAACCTTTATAATCATCATCATTTTATCAGACCTCCAACATTTATATAATTCTGGTAGGTCACTAAGGTCTTCTGATCAGTTTATTCATATTTTATGGTCAATAAATGAAATGATAATTTTTTAATAATGTATACATTATTTCATATTTTGACAGAAAGTGAAGATGTACTCACATTGCCTACATTTGTCTAGTGACTAATAATGCATAGCTGTGGCATATAAAACATGTTAATTTGTATTTTGTTTAGTTTAAATATATGATTTGTTAGATTTATATAGATGTCCTTCGTTATTGAAATTAAAAAATTATATTATAAGCTATAAAATAAAGTAAAATGTTTATTCACCGCTTCAAATGTTGGTCATGTAAAATAAGCAGGCTAAAGCACTACTGTACACAAAGATGAACATCACTTTGGATGGCCTAAGTAATAGCACACTATTGATGCCAATAGAATAAAATATTACAGTAATTCTCCATATATTCTGGTATATATATATATATATATATATATATATATATATATATATATATATATATATATATATATATATATATATATATATATATATATAAGAAAAAGCTGTTGAAAACTATTAGGTACATTTGTCACGTTACTGATGCAAGGTGCTTCTGTCCCTGTTATCTTAGTTATTATTATAGGATTGTTAAAATTGTTAATAATTAAAGAACTTATAATTCATACAGCATCTGAAAAACATGGCTGTATTGTTTGCAATTAACAAAAATTACGTAAATGTAATGGGTTTCTTGTATTATATGAGATCATATCCACACAAATGCACAATGAGAAGGTCTTTATCTGCGTAATCAAACAAGTCTGGAAAACAAACGAGATTTAAGCAGGTTATTTGTGGATGAAAAATGTTAAACAAACAATAAAGACAACAACAAATTCATGTGAACTTTAAAAAATATATATATATTATTTTAAATTAAGATTTATTAAACCTGCAATTTCTTTAAAGTTGTTGCGCTTCTAATTTCAGTCACATGATAACGTAACATGGCGGATGAGGTACGATTCTATTCATACTCAACGAGATTTGGCTGTTGAGTGCCTACTCTTTTAGTTCTCGTTTAGTAAGTACTTATTGAAAAAGAGTACCTACTCATTGAGTATGTGGTTTCAAATGCAGCCCCTGTGTTTGTTCTGTCAGCATCGTGCTGCTTCATTCTTGGCGCCTTCGTCTAGTTAGTTTCAGTTTTGGTTGGCGCTGAGATGAAGCATGCGCGTTGCATATGTGTGATCGCAAGTTGGGTATCTTTTATTTATCGTGTGCTCGTGTCTTGTGTTCTCTTGTGTAGCACGTGGTTTCATGTTTACATCGTAACCACGTGTATCTTGTTTTATGTGAGCATGCAGTCAATGAGCTGTCTCGTTGGCTGCGTGTTCTAGTCCGGTTTGTATGTAAGCACATGGTTGTTCTTTTGTCTAGCGTCTTGTCCCACCCACCTTGTTATCATGTTTGTAATTATTATTTTCACCTGTCCGCCTGTCTGTTTATTGGTTTGTCTTTCCTATTTATTCTCCTAGTGTGCTCTGTTCTGTGCCGGGGTTCGTTCTTCGTACTTGGATTACTCAGTTGGATTTGGATATTGACGATTTGACACGATCCAGGATCGTTTCGTTCTTCAAAGCTGATCCGAGAGTTGTTGTCATGGCAACAGTTCTGCTAGGTCAACCCTGATCGGGAGCAGGTTCAATTCATATAAACATGATTAGATCGGCTCAGTTCAAGCAAAGATAATACAGAAAGTATGTTCCGAATTCTGATATTTTCTTACAGTAGTAGTTATATACACTTGGGAAAATGGTACATATTTTAAAACTATATATATAAAGTTATAGTCATTAATAAAATAAATAAAGTTATACATATTAATAAAATGTATGGAATCTGCACCCTCGAAATGAAAGTACAAAGACCGACACCTGGTGGTAAAAGGAGAAAACTTATTGCTATGAACTTTTTAGATCGCTTTAGTACAAATTGTGTATAATGAAATGCACAATATGTGACTTTTTTTTTAAGCAATAATACATTTATGCAGTCATAAACATGTTTTAATAGTTAATATGTCAGTGATTTGATGCTTCACAAAAGTTGCAGACACCTTTACCAATACGAAAATGCTTTTGTAAACAACCAGTTATTCTTTACACCGATTAAAAAACGGCTACTATAATAAAGAAAATCTTTTCTAAATGTAGAACTAACTACATTGATTTGCATTGAAATACATGATGAATACTCTTGTCTTGACACATGAAAGTGTAAAGCCTGCAGCTCACAACAAATGTGGAAGGTTATTGCGTGTCATATTTAACAAGCCGTTTACTGCTAATTTGATGTAATTTTGCTCACATGGATAATTGAATATTAATCAGATGATGTCATTACGCTTCTGTGCCGTCAGCCAATCATTGCATTGCTGATCATGATTTCGAGGATCAATAGATCTGTCCTTCACAACACACGCAGCGATCTCAGATCAGTTCATCCAGACATTCTAATCTGATTCGCGAACTTGTTTGAAGAACCAAATTAGCGAGAGATCAGTTATCAAGATTAAAAGACCCAGGATCTGCCAAATAATCTTAGATCATTTAAGCGAGGTACGAAGAACAGACCCCCGGTCTGTTGTTGATTGTTTCCTTTCTCTTTTGTATGATGTCTGTTGATATCTGTTCTACAACTGTGGTTTAAAGTAGTGTGTCATGCCAAGATCCAAATCAAGTCTTGTTGAGTGTGCAGTATAATGTTGTGTTTTTTCCCCACATGGGGAGATTTGATTTTTGTTTTTTGTTTTATTTTTTAATAAATCCTTCATTACCTGCATTTGAGTCCTCGCCTCCTCTCCATCCACCCCCACACCCTGACAGTTATCACTCCAAAACTCTGGACTGGGCTCTTCCCCCACGTCAGAGACGCTCCAACTTGATCTGTTTTTAAAAAGCTTATGAAACTCCATCTTTGTTCTTTAGCATTTGAGCCTTTTCAATGTTGAGGGGTTGGCCTTATGTTTTAATTGTTATGTATGTGATAGGTTTTATTTTAAATAGCATTGATTGTGTTCAGCATTTTGGGCAATGTTGTGTCATAAAAAATGTGCTAAAAAATAACTAACTAACTAACTTTAACAAAGTTGGACACCACAGTCTTGAAGTCATGAAGTCAAAGAGACAAGTTCTCACAAAGTTTTGATTTATTCAATAAGTTTAACATTTTTCTAATGCGAGAGTTTCCATATCAGAAACAAATATCAAATTTTAACACAGCTAGTTCTAATATCAGTTTGGTTTGTCCATGTTGGCAATCAACACCAATGCCAGTTTACCATGGTGTAATGGTACATCAGTGACAATGTGAAGGCAAATAATTTTTCTGTTCTGTGAAATAATTCCCAGGAATCTGCACACAATATTCATGCACTCGTCAGTATCACTTTGTATCTGAGTCTAAATCCTGGACTGAAGCTCAGAGATTCTGCAGACAGAATTACACTGATCTGGCCACCATTGATAACATGGAGGAAATGAAGAGGCTCATTAAAACAGTTCGTGGGACTTACTATGGCAAAGCTTGGATTGGACTGTATGATGATCTGAACAGCTGGAGATGGTCACTGAATAATACAACTTTACAGGGAGGATTTAAAAGCTGGTTTGTCCAGAAACCAGTTAACTCAGGCGGAAAGAGTCTGTGTGTGTACATGTCAAATAGCCAGGGTATATGGAGTGAAGCCCCTTGCTCATGGACACTTCCCTTTATTTGCTATGATGGTAAGAATTGATGTTGTACAAGTAATTTAAATGAAACCTTTATGATTTCATGAACAATGACAAACATAAATTGTTCCCCACAGGAACAGTGAATGCTACTACAAGTTATGTGTATGTTTACCAGTTTAAAAACTGGACTGAAGCTCAGAGTTACTGCAGAGAACATCACACAGACCTTGTCAGTATCAGGAATGAGATTGAGAACTACAGGGTTCTGGCATTAACTTCAAATTATTATTATACTTCTTGGATTGGACTGTACAGAAGCAGGTCTTGGTCAGATCAGAGCAACTCTTCATTCAGTAACTGGAGGTCAGGACAGCCAGATAATGCTGGAAACAGTGAATACTGCACTGCAGTGTCATTCAGTGACTCTGGTAACTGGACAGATGAAAACTGCAATACTGCCTTTCCTTTCATTTGTTACAGTGGTGAGTAGAAATCTAGCCTTAAAATAATATGACTCTGTTAAATACAAAGAGCAAATAACAAATGAGAATATGGTTTTGGTCCATGGCGATTGGGGGTGGGGGGAAGTAGTTGACCATGATTAGCTTACCCATTGGCTGATGATAAAAGTTTACCCTGACTAATTCATTTTACAAGCACATACTTATGAGCTGAATATAAACATATTTAGCAAATAATTTATTAACTAAAATTAAACAAGCATTTAAGATTTGTTTGTGGCATTATTTCATAAAGGCACATGCACAAGTGTGAATGGTCCACAAACTGCACCATCTTGTGCACTTCTCTGTTACAAAGACAAGAGTTGCATATTATAGCAAATGCAATAGTTTTAAACAGTGTCCTATGAATCAGGAGTGATTGTTCAGGAGACATTTTTTTTTCATATGTGTGGAGAAACAGCTAAATTAACAAAAGATATTGAAGAAAAAAATGATTTAACATACTGTACTATTAAGTTGTGTTTAAATATGACATCTTTGACATATTTTAGACATAAAATATTATTTACTACTTAAAATGCAATTTTAGGGCAGTGTTTATCATTTAGCATTTAACAATTAATTAACTTTTTATTTAATTAGATGCAAATAATCTACAGTATATTATGCCCACAATACTTCAAATAGAAGTTAAGGGGTGTAAATTAATTTCTAAGAATCTTTTTTTTTTTAGCATTACATCTACAATATTATAAAAATACATTTCCCCCATCTTGACAGTATTGGGATCATCCCGTCAGTATTACTTTGTGAATCAGTCTTTGAGCTGGACTCAAGCTCAGAGATTCTGCAGACAGAGTTACACTGATCTGGCCACCATTGATAACATGGAGGAAATGAACAGGCTGATTAACACAGTCAATGGCAGTTACAGTGGTTCAGCCTGGATTGGTCAGTATGATGATGTGAACAGCTGGAGATGGTCACTGGAAGACAATGATTTCTATCAGGAAGGAGAAAGAGATTACAGGAACTTTTATCATGAACCTGACAACAATTATGGGAATGAATTGTGTGTTTACATGAGTACTGATGGAAACTGGCATGACACATCATGTGAGAGGTATTACACACCTGTATGCTATGACGGTAAGACATTTAAAATATATATATTTTTATGTACCTATCAGTAAAACATTAATTGCTAAAGTCTCAACAAAAACGTTACACTGTAAAAAAAAAAAATCATAAATATTTTATAGTATTTTTTGTAATTTCAAATTATATTCAAAACTTATTAAAACGACAAACAATCTCTCTTAATTAACAGTTGAAAACAGATGAAAACAGACTTTCATTTTAGGTACTTTATCATTAAAGAAAAATTACTGACATTTTTGTTTTTTACAGGAAAATCACAGTATTATTTATACAGTATTTTTTTTTAGTTATTTTAAATTATATTCAAAAGTCCTTAAAAATTAATCTGTAAATTAACAGCTCGACTGTTGTATTATGTACTAGATCATTCCCGAGATGAAGAAAGTATGAAGGCAGTGTTTTTTAAATTCATGTAGGCTAGAAAATAATATGTTTTGTAATATTAATCCTTTATATTTATATCCTATATATATTTTAATTTTAATTTTTTATTTTAATTATGTAAAGATATTTACATGGCTTACACACTGTTTAATATACAGAAGATGTAGAGCAATGTGCACATACCTTTACATATGAAGAAGAATTAAAATATTAAGGAAATAAATAGGATATAATAAGGATATATATAGGATATAAATATAAAGAATTACAATATTACAAAACATATTATTTTCTAGCCTACATAAATATAAAAACCACTGCCTTCATCTTCATCTCGATAGGCCTATTCAGTTTATTCATAACAATTTGTTTTTGTATAATGTTATCATTATTATCAGTATTATTTATTATATCCATATTTATATTTTTATATCAGTACATTTAATATATCATATTTATGTCAGGTTTTAGACCATATGGGGCACAGCATGTGTTTTAGGATATAACTCAGGTTTTTAAACACACTTCGTTAATATTGTTCATTTATTCATTTGCTGGAAATTAGAAATGAATTTTAGAAATAGATTTGAAACAAATCTTTGTGCTTAACAAACGAAATTAATTATTTATAGGCTAATGGATGTCTGTGCATACAACACATTTCCTTATCCATGAGAGTGAAAGTGAAAGTAAATAATGAGGAGGCTTATTTCTCATTTTCACGCTGTAGATGCTCTGGTTAACTGTTTTCTTGCTAGTGAAACGCTCAGTTTTTTTTCACTTACAAATCATGTAAATAGCAAATGCACCATGGCGCGACGCAACTGACTCTTAAAAGGAATGGAGGATGAGACTCTGATTGTTTTTTCTCAAAACACACCTATAACTCATAATGAAAATAAACAACTTTTTTAGACCATGCGCCATGGCGAAAAGTGGATTTTTCTGTCCTTAAATTAGCAAAAGTGGATTCCGACACACCATTAAAGCATTTGCGCCCCAAGCTTTGGGCTTTTGCATGGATCGTCAAAATAGAGCCCTTAGTGTGTAACTTTATCGAATAGATTTGATCGTAATAATCTAATAAAAGTCTGTAAAATGCCAGTGTTTCTTTGTAAAACTCTTAGTGTGTAACTTTATTGAACGGATTTGATCGCAATAATCTAGGAAAAGTCTGTAAAATAACAGTGTTTTCTTCTGTAAACTTTTAATGAAAATATCTGTAGATTTATAATTTTTTGCACTTTATTTAAACAAATAAATTTTACCGTAATTTTACTGTTTTTGTTTGGCAGCCGTAGCATCCAGTTTTACAGTGTACAGTGAGGGTTGTTGTGAGATCTTCAGAATATATCTTGGCTTGGATGGGTTGGATCAAAATAGCAACCATAAAATTAAAATATAAATGTATTGTAGTTGTACTGGACACATTTAAAATGTGGATGACAGACAAGGTAACAAATAACATGACATTGAATTTATGTTTCTGTCCTAGGTAGAGAAAATGCCACTCAGAAGTATATTGTGGTAAACACAGGTATGCCGTGGACTTCAGCTCAGAGCTACTGTAGAGCGACATACACAGACCTGGCCAGTGTGAGGAATGAGACAGAGTGGCAACAAATACTGAGCATTACACGTTATAGCTATTATGGCTATTATTCTGGATATAACATGTGGATTGGTTTGTACAGAAACAGACTGTGGTCAGATCAGAGCAGCTCTTCCTTCACATATTGGCTGCCACAGATTCAAGGTGATGTTGCACAACCAGATAATGGTGTAAATGTCCCAGGAGAACAGGGAGCTCAACACTGTACAACTGTGTCTTTAAAATACTTTGCTCAGTGGACAGATGAGAGATGTTTTGCCACTTTGCCATTCTTCTGTTACAGCGGTGAGAAAATAAACCTTCTATTAGTAAATAAAATTATAAACATCATGTTATTACACAGAAAAGAGTAACATTTGCTCATTAAGCTAACATAATCTTTCTGTTTGCTTTGTGGTGATCCTGATGACCATCATATGAACCCACATTGGCAGATGTGTACGGTATGTTTGTATAGTTTTGCTAATTTTTCCTGTTTTCAATACATAATGACTGTTAATCAGCTAAGAAATTCAACTGCACTGATATGTTACTAAAATGTTACTGATTAGTGATGGGAATGCGAGTGGAAGTTACAAGTCTGGATAATTTGTCAAAGGCAAAGATTGAGCAAGAGGTGATTATACAGGTAAGACACTTGACAGTATTTATGAATTAATCAATAATACTTTGAATATTGTATGTAAAAGATTAATACCACATATACTTTTTATATAAACATTTCCTGGTAAATTTGCTCAAGACAACTGTGTAATAAATACTAAATCAGTGACATTTAAATGATGAAAGGGGAAACAAAGAGATGTTTGTCATAAGGTGTATATATTTTCAGTTACAAGAGGAGCTGATGAAGCTTGGAGTTCCCAGCAATGTCACCATGCATCTGAGAAACTATTATAAGACCAAACCCTGATGAAGGACGACAGCGCTTTACTGTTTCCACATTTTAGAGTTTTAGACTCAGTTCACTTGCATATAATATAACTGTATTCACTTCACTTTTATAAATGAATTAGCTTAATCATCATAATAATCTTATCTTAAAAATACCCATAATTAACAGGTTCTGTATTTAGTGAGTCAGTTCTTTTGCCATTTATTTACAGTTATCAGTTGCATTATGGGACTTTTATCTCTGCTTTGTCAACTTTTGGTGTTGAAAAATCAACTCTACTGTAGAACAAAGTGATTTTAATTGGCATTTTAGTAGTCTGAAAATATGTAACATAAATCAAATATTATATAGACTATATTAAGTTTATATCAATATTATAAAGAGTACTGGCAGTGAATTGCTAGGTTTATTTGTACATAATTTACAACAACAACATAGGAAATATACCACTTTAAACTATTAAAAATGATAATAAAAGACAATTTTTCCAACTGTTCAACATCAAAATTTGAAAAATGCTATTTGAATGCATAAATTAATTAGGAAAAAATATATAAATCATAAAATATGGATCACCCTTAATTTGCAGACTTTTTTACAATGTATCTTTTTCTTATAATAAAATATATCATTCTAATTATCGCTTTAAAGGACTAATAAGTAAAGTGTTTCATATCAAAATTGATTGAGCTTGAATTTAATGATTGGGTTTATGGATGATATATAGTTTGATCAATAGCTGGTAATGGGAAGGTATGTAAGATGAAACAATATTTACGATAAATCGGTATCATGATGGCATTTATATATTGGTATATATATTGGTGCTTGTTTTGAAATTGTTTTGTTTTTAATATACAGAGGGAAAACTTATGTGTGTAAAATAAATTGAAATAAACTGTAAAGTTTTAAAAGGAAGTGGTGGTTGTTTTGCCTTACAGTACATTGGAGTACAGTACAAACAAAAAAATATCTTGTCACATACTATAAGCTGCTGAACCCGTTTTAAAGGCATATCCTTCCTGAGAAACAACAATGGTGAATATCTATACCAACTGACATAGCTCATTCAATGTCATGTGTTACAATATGACATCTTTGCATTTAGAATATACAAACATTTCATTTAATTTAACATTTCATTCAAGTTTTTAGTTCACTTTAAGCCATTGAAAAGTTTATTTTGTGAGCACACAGAAACTAAAATAATGATTTAATCAGCAGTTTCCCCTACTCATTGTCAGTATAGGGGCACATTCATGTTATGCTTGGCAGCACCTCTGACGTATTAAAGTACCTCATGCACGGGCATCCGGATGAACATGACACTCAGAAGTGGACTGGGACATAGGCCAGAAAATCCTGCACCCACTCTGGGCGTCCTTTGGTAAATATTCTATCAGGGATTTTTAGGATTTGGCATATAGACGAGTATAAAGAGTGAGACTCTTCACAGTATGTGAGCCATACTGCATTCTGGCTTTGCTGAAGTAGATAAGAGCTTGTTTTAGGAATTTCTGTGGATTATAGTGAAAGAGGCAAGATCCTTGGACTGAGGCCATGCAAAATAATAAAAAGCTTTGGTAATACTATTACACACTATCAATCATTTATTAAGCACTAGCTATTTGTTAGTTCATTATTTGTTAGGCATTAACTCTACATTAATAGACGTTAAGCAGTTTATAAATACAGCTACAAATGATGTATTCTTGACAGCAAATGTACTGCATCCCATGTGATAACACTTTATAATAACTACACATTATAAACCATTTATTAGGCATTAGCAATTAGTGAATTTATTATCTGTTAAGCATTAACTCTACATTAATAAACGTTAGTAAGCAGTTTATAACTGCAGCTACAAATGCATGAATCATTGACTTCCAACCACATTTATAATGTGCTTAATAATTGTACTTTCATACTTAGTTAATGATTTATTTTTCATTAATAAATTAAGTATTGCATTATTTACAAACCAGTTATTTAAGCATAGTTGGTTGTTTTTTTTATGGTTGTTTTTGGATAACTCAGAATGAGTTAGTAAATTATTAATAAACAATTCAAATTAACATTTATAATTCTTATTGTTCAGGCATATACTAATAGTTATTGTTTGTGTTAATAAATGCTTTAATAACTCAACTTCATGCAGTTTTGTGACCTAATCTAAGGTGAGGACTATTTATGCTGTATGAATCCCTTATAAATGACAATTAAAAAGTTAGTTAAATTCTTAACAGGAAAAAAGAACATAAATCTCGCTCCTCCATACCTTACTAATCTTGTTCATATCTTGTTCATTAGACTCTCTTTCACAATTTAAGTCCAAACTCAAAACACATCTGTTTAGAACAGCCTATTCTCTTTGACCTGATTGCATTTTTAAAGTTTGTATTGCTTTATATTGTTTTAATTGTGTTTTTATTTGAATTGATTGTTTTAGCTGTCCTGTACAGTGACCTTGAGTGTCATGAAAGGCGCCTTTAAATAAAATGCATTATTATTATTATTATTATTATTATTATAAACAAAATTATTTATTACTATTGGTTTGAAGATACACAAATGAAAATGTACTTCAAATGAAAAATTCATATTTGCAAGCTTATCTAAAAAATACTGTACAGTTTAAACATTGCATGTTATTATATTGTTAAATTATTATATTGTTGTTGCTTTGATCAATTTTTATGTTATATTTTGAGTCACTCCTGTTATTCTGCAATGTTTAAACTTTAGTCCTCACTTTAGATTAGGTCACAAAACTGCATGAATTAGAGATAATAAAGCATTTATTAACATACATAGTAATATATACCTGAATAATAAGACATATAAACGTTGATTTCAATAGTTTATTAATCATTTACTAACTCATTCTAAATTATCTTAAAAACCACCAAATACTCTTAAATAGAAATGGTTTGTAAATAATGCAATACTTAATTTAGTAATGAAAAATAAATCATTAACAAAGTATGAAAGTACAATCATTAAGCACATTATAAATGTGGCTGTAAGTCAAGAATACAGCATTTATAGCTCCAATTATAAACTGCTTACTAATGCTTAATAATGTAGAGTTAATGCTGAATGAGTTCACTAGATACTAATGCTTAATAAATGATTCATAGTTATAATAAAGTGTTGCCAAAAGGGTAGTGGTAGTTTTTTCATGTGTGTGTTCTACTTTACTTTAACAGCGCTACCCTTATAAGTGTTTGTCCTGCTTAATTGTGTCGATGTTTCCCTTGACTAAATGGTGTTCCTGGTTAAGGATTATTGATCCTTTCTTGTATTTTATTGTATTTAATTCATCATCTAAAATGACAAAGATCATGTTTTTATATTTAATGCTGATAAAGAAAATAAATGGAAAGCTGACAAACAGAAATAAAACATGTATTCTTTAGCATTTATCTCACTTAATCACTTTATACTTACAGAAGTAGTCTAACAGGTTTGCTCATATTTCATTCACATACAACAAACCCATACTGATAGCTTATTTACGCCAATTAGCAGGTTTAATTAGTTTAAAGAAAATGGTCACACCCACACTGTAAACGATTTCTTGTTAAATTAACAGTAAGTTACTGGCAACAATTATCCAGTAGCTGCTGTATTTCATAAAACAGTAACATTATTGTAATACTAATTACATTAGTATTACATTTACTGTAAAATGTAATACATCATTTTACTGTTGTTGATTTTTACTGTAACACTAATTACAGTAGTGGTGCACATACTGCAAAACTGAAAACAGTATTTTATTGTACATTTTTACCATGAAGAACTACGGTATTTTAACGTTACTTTCATTATTACTGTATAGTATTTTACAGTTATTAAATGTTATTTTATTATATTTAATAGTGCTACTTTATAATGGGTAAAAATTTTTCAAAAATTGCACAAGTGTTATTTTAACTGTTCAAGACGTACAAGAAAAATAAAGAAACTGAAACTTTAACTTCACAATAAAGGTTTATTGTGTAAACCATGCTAAAACAGTAGCAATTATTCAATAAAACAGAGCAACAGAACACTAATAAACAATTGATCATTAAAACCAGTCAACAATTAATGCATCAAAAATTATTACAATTTTAAAAACAGGTGAAAATACTGCTACAAGACAGGAAATGATGAAGGCCAAATGATGTGGAAAGGGACAGTGAAAAAGGGCAGCAGCATGATGATGATCCTGCAAAAATGACAAGCAAAATCAATCACTGAAGTAAAAACTAATTATCCCTCAAACCATTTAATTCATTCAGAAACGAAACACTGCACTGCAGTTTATATATACATATATATATATATATATATATATATATATATATATATATATATATATATATATATATATATATATATATATATATATAAAACAGTTTTTTAATTGTTTTTGTTGGTGAAATACAGTTTGTTGTCAATTCACAATTACACTAACGTTAATGGGGAAAAGATCAGCGGGCATTGTTCAATATGCAGCAGTGATGGCATGTAAGCGAGACAAATAAACATTTTATCGAGTCATTTCATACAATTTATTTATTGATTTATTTTTTATACGAACACATCTCCAGTGACATTTCCTCAAACTAAATCATCATAACGTTACTGTGCACAGCATCAGTAAAATGTTGAGAATAATTTAAATACTTAATTTTTTAAAACAGTCACTGCTGATTACAAACTAACATTAAAGCTAAGCTTACAGAAATCCTGTATGCATGACAATATAAAGATGTATTACTCACTGATGTCGAAGCACTTCCAGGTCATCAGAGATGTAGACAGGACAGAATATGTGCTATCAAATGAGCTCTTGTGCAGCCTTTGTTGGACATCCAGGTAGTATGTTCACCCACACTGTAAGAAACAAAAACAGAAACAATTTATTAAAATGTGAGGGATAGTAAACATGTTTGGTCTACAGAGAGAAGAAAATGTTTACTTTAAGCATTGATCCCAATGAATCTATTTCTCAACTACATTTAACCTTATCACGGAAACAGCATTTTTGAGCTTTCAGACCAGGGGTGCTCAACCTTGTTTGCTTTAAATTAGAATTAAAACAATAAATCTCTATGTCAAATAAAATACTTCAGATCTAAATAAAGCAGGTGTTTTTACCTAAAGGTTCCTTCCCTCCAGTTAGTTTGGCTGCAAATCCCTCCACATCTGTGCTTTATTCGGTTCTTGTCTTAAGAGTAAATGGTGTCGCATTCCAGGTTCATCACAATCTGGGCTAGAAGGACAATATGACAAAAGACAAGACACATATAAATAAAAGTCTCAGAATAAAATATTTAAAGGAATAGTTTACTATTTTGCCACTATTTACTCCACGTGTTTTAAACTAGTTTGAATTTCTGTTAAACACTAAAGCAGATATTTTGAAGAATGTTAGTAACCAGTAACTATTGACATCCATATTTAAACCAAATTTCTTTAAAAAATACGAGTTTGTGTTCAACGGAACAAAATAAATATATAACTATTTTGAAACAAGTGGAGGATGCCAAAGATGCTATTATTTTCATTTTTGGGTGAACTGTCCCTTCAATTCAAGTGTCAAGCACTAGTTATAAAAACTGATGTGTCGCTTGAGGAAAACTAAATCAAGTACCTTCTGTGAACAAGCAGAATCATTATGCCATTGTATTCAGTGATTCTCTTTTACATTTTCCCACTATAAAACGATAGCTTCAACATGCAATCCATGTTAAAACAAAAATGAATAGCATAAAATAACATATTGAACTAAACTTACAGTTTCCAGTTCCATACGCCCAGTAAAATTGCTAATAAACAAAGACTGGTGTTTTAACACCAGATTTTTTTTATCTTAGGAACTGCTGGAAGAAGAAAAAGAGGTTTTACATGAAACTCC